TCATCCGGCGCTGCAAAGCTCCTCACCATTCTCCTCCCGACGATCAAGGCAGGTCCCCTGCGATGCGCAATGATTCAGAAATGCACTGCAGGATGTTGACGCACAAGCCGACTCTACGTCGAATCTGACACACTGCCAGATGGTCACCGGAGACGCAAAGCCCACACACCGAAGTCTCCTACACAAACTTCCAACTACTGGGGAGGAGTCGTGCGATGCAGCCTTTCTTCGGTTGATGCACTCCACGAGCTCCACTGGCTCTGCGTCGTCCTGGATACTTTCGTCTTCCTTGACCTCACAAGGCAAAGAACATGGAAGTACCAACAATGCAGGATGCAGTATGTTGTCACCCCAAGGCACTGCAGCTGGTAGGAACGGAAATGTGCCGATTGAAACTGGAAGGCCTTCATCAAGCCCTGTTGCAGCTGTGCCTGCGGCATGACAGCAGGCTGCAACGCTGCTCGCGCTGGTCAGCATGCCTGGCCCCCACTGAAACTTACTAAGAAACTTACTAAGGTTTGTGCCATGAGCTTCTCATCATCGATGTCATCGAACATGTCCGTCTCCAGGTCGACGGTGTCCTGGAGAGAGAAATCATTGAAAGACTCAGGAAATCATTACTTGCTTGATGCCGATACATTGGGCAACCGAGAAACAATGCTGCGCAAAAACTACCTCATCTCCGTTTTCGCCTCCGCCTGTTTCATGTTGCTCGCAAGCAAGCGCATGCTTCGTGGCGGTCGCCACAAGCTGCATGCAAAGAGCTGCCAAACCCAGCGACATCAGTAAGAGTATCTTAAGTCTTGCAGAATCAAGTGTGCCACACTATTCTTCAGAAGGTGGAAACAAAAACGATATGTGCCAAGCATAAAACATTCAGCTCTCCGTTGGACTTGGCAGCGTAGCTCCCTTTCAGGACGTTGGGTCAACTGTCCCAAAAGTCGGTGCAACCGCCATCCGCATGCAATGTCTCAAAGGGGTGACCACTCGTAGTTATCCCCAGCTGTAGTTGAAGGTGCTTTCCTGGTGCCGGATGTGTGCGGATCTGACGGTTGCAGTGGAAGTGCAGAGACGGGGAGCATACTGCATTAGATGGCCGTGTGGATGCGGCGGACTCGGCCATGGCAAGTCCCTAGGCCTAGCCTTGAGCACGGACCTATCAGTCACATCTGGGAAGCTTTCTCTTTGTGAGATAAGCGGTGGTCTCCACAACAATGGCCCAACTCTGCGGGTCACGTTGATGTCAGGGGGAAAGATTCCAATTTCTGTTACCGCTGCTTTTTGGGCTGCTGTTTCGCTGGGAATTCTCAGCACTTTCGTGCTCTTGGAAGGCTCCCATCTTTGCCAGATGGCAGGCGCTCGGTACGTCATAAGTACAATAAGAACGCAGAGAGCAGATTAGGACCTCTCTTCAAGCGTCCAAATGGCTTCCAGATATGTGGCATTCCTCAGGATGCGAGCCTTCCATGGCGTCTGTCCAGCTTAATAGAATGCCAAGGAGACGTCTGCTGGAAGATGCTGAGACCCTTCCATTCTCGCTGAGCGTCCCCATCACAAATGACAATTGGCATTCGTGGATGGTAAACAATGCTAAGTGGTTTTGACTGCATTGACTGCATTGATCTGCATTGAGCTGCATTTATCATCTGCGAACTTCTGCCACACGAATCAGTAACTACTGGAAGCTTTGTCTGTCGAGTTGTCCTCAGACGTTTGAAAGAACTTGTCTCGAACCCTCAGGGAGGCATGGATCCCAGGTGTAACTTCTTTTGCGTCACTGAAGATTCGTACTTGGGATCCACTAAATATCCGTGTCTGTTCACGCAGTGGCGCAGTGCTCACGCCCACTCTTGGCGCCTGCATGCACTGCCTCCTCCACACAAACCCACCTGCTAAGCTGCAGAAGGGCCAAGCTCCCTCGGTCTAAAGTTAAACACTCTACGTTCACCGTCCTCTCTACGTTCTCCTCTACGTTCTCCTCTACGTTCTAGGTGGATCTGGAAGTGCTGGGGGAGCGGCCCCTTTGTGGGCTGTCCAGTGCCTTTCATGTGAAGCACTCTAACAGGTGCAACTTGTTCAGCACACGGAAGGTCTGTAAGCCAAAAAAGCCCTGGGTTCCTGAGCCACCAGATGCCAGCGTGATGGAAGGGACATGTAAGGAAGGCAACTAATCTGCAGCGCAGAGCTACGCCGCCAGGTGGCGCAGAAACCACGGAAGCTGAAATTTACAGGAGAGCTGCACCTTACCCAGACATCCCACGACATCAGAGACAAGAGTACATCATCAAACACCCAGTTGAAGGTATAAGTGACAACACTAGTTTCTCAAGGGCTGGATGCAACGAGATGGCCCTCTGAAAAGAGCGTATGCAGCATATGCCGGGGAAGGTGCTGGGAGGTGCTGGCACCTTCAGACCGCCATGGAGAAATGCCGGCACGCACCCCGGGTTTGCCAAGTGCATCACCCTTCATCACCTTAGTCCCTTTTGCCGTCATAAAAATTAGGCGAGTGTTGTTGCCTTCTCGCTGCTGCACACATCAATGGTAAGCACATGTTATGAGTCAACTTGTACATGGTGCGCCCGACATCGGCGAAAGCAAGCAGAGGCTCGCCCGACGCAGAGGATCTTTACAATTTCCCACTGCACATTCGACAAGCTTGCTGAAAGGAAGGTTCGTGCAGGGAAGCAGTCGTGCATCTAACAGCTGTCTGAATCCTGTCCTGAAAGAACTAGCATGGAACCTTCCGTTCTTATCTGCGGCCCTCGGCCCGCATGTCTCCGGGAGCTAAAGGCAGCGTTGAACAGTGAACACATCCAAGGCGACTTTGATACACGACGGGACAGCTTAATTTCAAGCCTGAATGCAGACACTTGTTACTGCCTTGCATTGACGGGTGCATGAAAAGTGAATCAAACACGGCACGAGCCCAGAAACGAAGACCCCTTGAGGACGCACGGAGGACACGACGGGCCCTTCTCTAGGACTCTTCATGGCTCCTTCCTGAACCCTCGATTGGGCCCCGGGGGTATAATGCGCCATCTGGTGTCTAGTGACCTGCGACGAATCCTGACGACAACGACGGCGGCGACGACGACGACGACTGTTTCAGGAACGGGCGCAGCTAAAACGCAAGCCCCCGTAGACCCCGCGAACTTCAGAGACGAATTCGGACTTCAGGAATTGGAGAGGATGTGACAACGATGTGAGAGCTTGAGGATGTTGCCAAGGCAATTTTGTGAACTATGCCTACTCGCACTTTCGAGCATCAGCGTAGGCCGCTTATCAACGGATACAAGCGTTGCTGCCAAGCTGCACCAGTGACATGCGTACGAGATATGTAGGCTGCAGAATCCAGCGAATTCGTCAACTGACTGCGATCATCACTGCTCTTCGATACCAAACTTCCAAGTTAATCTCATCTTGTTCGAGGATGCTTCAAAAAGGTTCAAGCCGGGATCGTCCAGCAGCCGATGCTATACGTTGTTCAAAACGTACGGGAAGAACTCTCCAAAGTATGACCCGCAGCCAACGTTCCCAAACACACCTTTGAATCCTATTCTGAATGTGCCTCAGCTGAGAAACGTGAAATCTCCTCAAGGTTAGCTTCATTTTTGTGGCACCTCGCAACGTATCTTCTTACGAGTATGTTTGGTGTCAGCTGCCGCCCTGAACTGGGCCTGAAATTCTCCCAGCGCTATGATCTGGGTAAGCTCAGGGCCCTGTACGGGCGACCACTGCGCCTTCAATCACTCCAGTCTTGCCATCACAGCCGTATGCCCTGGAGGCCAACATCAGCACAGCACCTTCAAAACGAGCCCGCGTGCTCAAGAAGACAATTCGGGAACCAGTCCTTCCCAATCTATGTGCTTGTTTGCGGCTCTTGCAGTATCTGCAAGCCCAATGACACGCCCAACGTCACGCGATGCAAATCGAGTGCCAATCGGGATGCTCCGAGAACGATACATTTGTCGAAACAGAAATGCTGCAAAACTCTCTCTGATCAAGCCTACTTAATCGCGGATCAATCCCTCAACTGTGCGTTTGTTGAGAAGTGATTCTGCCACGGTCTGCATCGCTTTTCGCTTGAAAAATTCAACGCAAGGACCAGGCATTCGCGGTCTTCGTGATTGCCCAGCACAACCCACCGGACTCAAGAATGGCTAAGTTAAGCCCTACGTTAAGCACGGAGTTAAGTGGAAGCCCCGGGTTTTTCGCCTCACCCGTGACCGGGAAGCGTGTGGACATGTCTGGAGCGGAACAAGTATACCAACAACTGCCCCCCCCCCCAACTCCCCGCCAACAAGTTCACCGAAGGTTGGTACAGCCTGCTGACGCTGCAAGCCTTTAGACCTGCCGAGTCTTTGGTCTTCTCGTGGTCTTCTCGTGGTCTTCTCTCCAGCGCGGACCTCTGTTACCCGCACCTCAGGCGGGATTACCTTGCAGGCCTTGCTCTAGCAATAGGACGGACGGCAGTGCCGCCGACATGTGGGGGTCGTAAGTTGGCCGGGACCCAGGAGAGCATCATGAGCACCCTCCAGCACGGTTCTCTGGGGGTGCCCTTGGGGCGATTTTGCCACGTTCTGCTACCGCAGCACCCATCATGAGCATCAGCTGCTCGGGCTTCCGGCGCACAGCACCCCCAGCCTGGGGCCCGGATCGGGAGCATCAGCACCCGGGCTCGGGGCCGGAGCCGGCCCAGAGACCCCACCATGAGCCGCCTAAAGGGCCAAAAACCGAGTAAGCCACGTTGCTTTTTCTTGTCTGCCTCGACCACCGTGCCTTTTTGTTTGGTTGAAGGCTTCGGGGTTTAGGGTTTTCAGGGTTTGGGGTGTGGGGCTTTCAGGGTTTCGGGTGGGCGGGTGTCCAAACCCCTACAAAGCCATATATCACTAAGCTTCTACTGCAGCAAGCAGAAACAGGAAGAACGCAAAGCGATTTATGCTACGTATCATGAAGAAGGTCCCTGGGGTGCTCGGACAATTCCACAGTCTGACTTTGGAAATCCAACAGGCCCGACTTCTCAGAATGGTTTTGCGATGTTCAGACAAATGCTTCTATTTTCTCCTCTCTTGGCAGTCAAGCAAACCATTCCTCCATGCCCACCATGGCATAGCAGGGCCGTGTTTTCACTGCAGTAGTATTGCTGGCACGATGATCGGTCCAGGTGCCACTGCAACAACCTCATCAGACTTTCCATGACGCAAGATTCTCCATATTCGGACTTGCGTTGAACATGGCAACAAGTGAGGTATGGACAGGCACTGCAGGCGATGACGATCCCTGTGGAGATGCCTCTGTTGAATCGCAAGCTGCACACTCTGCTTGCAATGACGGCTGCAAAGATGCAAAGGCATGAACCCAACTGACGTAGCCAACTCTCGCAATATCGCCCCGCCTGCGCTGCAGCAGCAGCTGCCCTCAGGCGCTGGGAAGCTGTTTTTTTGGCCTGAGCTACAAAATGTGAAAGGTTGCGTTCTTAAAAATCTTACAAAGCAATTGCGAGGTTACGTGGTGCCAAAGCCACCAGCCTGGCCTTCTTTCTGGCCTTCAGTTCTGCGGCGGAGCAAAGGTGGCAGTGGCCACACTCCTGCACAAGATTCCAGCGATATTACTGCAAAGGGATGCGAAAGAAGGGAACTGCCTTCTGTAGCAGTGGGCAATACATACACCTTAAGATCCACTCAAGTTGGGGAAGGCTAAGGCGAGACAAACATGTCTTGCAGCACTTGCATGCTGGCTGTGACCGGATGTGCCAATATGCCTGTTCCGCGCATTGATCGGGCTGGGCACTCCGGGGATACCCCCGCGGCGTCTTGCATCTAGAAGCACTGAAAGTCGTTGACCATAGCACATTGCATAGCAAAGATACAATAAAGTGAAGTCCGTTTTCTTCCATGACCGATACCGTGTGTGTGTGTGTGTGCATCAAGAGTTAGCCGATGTCAGAGCAGGGGGACGTAGCATGCATGGCACAAAAACCGTCCTCTCCATTAGCGCAACCCTGCGGGCGCCAAAACCAGGCACAAGGCTTGCAGCTGCCCGTTCCTCAGCCGGGGTTTGCTCGGGAAAGCGCGCAGTATGCCGCTCATGCCTCCTGCAGCTCTAACCTACACACGTGCTCACGCACTTGGCTGATCACGCCTGCACATCTCCTGAGGGCCGGGCCATGCACCTGTGAGCCCAATGAATGTTGGGGCTGCCGAGTCTCCAGGGGCTCGATGGCTGGGAACGTCTTGGAGGCTGGGAAGCCCTGAATCAGGTCAAATTTCGACAACGTCTGCTTGAAAAAAGGACACCACATGATGTCAGTTTGAGCTATCAGTGTGCCGTGGAGGAATGAGGGAGCATCTGACTCAAATTGTCCAAATCGCTGCGACTACTCTCGGGTGCAACCTGCCGAAGCACACAGCTTCCAAGCCAGGCGAGTACGGCCAGGCCTTTTTGGGCCTGGGACGGGTCTGTGAGCATGAAGATGCTGGCTCCTGCGCGGATGTTGATTGGGCTTTGTGGCTCAACGAGTTCAAGTATATTCCTGGGAAGGAGGAGGACTGAAACAGTGTGCAGGTGCTTAGGGGGTAGTCCCTCACAGCGCGCTGTCCACTCCGGTTGTATGTCCTCGCGGCCTTCAACTAAGCTGGGCTGTACGGAGTCGCCACCATTTTTTAATGTAAATGTTCTAAGAGTACAGGTGCTGCTAATGATGTTCGTGTCTTTTTTTTCTGGCATGCTCTGCAGCTTTTGCAGTTGTTTTGAGACTTTGGCACCCTTCGTCAATCAAGACCCTCGGGAGCAACGGCCTCAAGCCAGTAACGATTGCAGTCTAGCCACCAAAACCTGTCCTGTGAAGCTTGCTAGGAAGCTAGCAAATCCGGGTAGCGGCTAGCTGTTGTGAGCATCGAAGCTGAAAAGCCCTCATCTGCGAGCGGTCCCGTCCACTCATCTTCGGGGGAGGGGGGGGGGCCTAAAAACCCAGTGTGTGTGTGTGTGTGTGTGTGACACTAATCTCCTCATCAAGCTCCAGACCGTCCGGTCCGTCCGGGCCGTCCGTAGCACGGCATGGGCGGGAAAGTGCCATCCTTTTGACACTGACAGGAGAACATGTGTTGAAATGTATTGAAAGGTGACACGTTGAGCAGCTGTCCTTTCATCTTCCTCTGAATCGGAAGCATCAGCACATCGAGTCTCATCCTTTCTCCACGCGGACAAGAATCACAAATGCAGGCAAGTCTGATCCAAGCGCCCCAAACGCTGCAGCGCACTAAGCATGCCACGTTAAAAAGACTTGCGCGGATCGGTTCGTTCGACTGGTCCCCCTTGCCTAGGTGACGCCCACGGAAAGAAATCTTAAATCAGAGCTCACAATGACCTTAATACCTCTTCACCACATTTCACCGCAAGCCTCTTCCTGTGCGGCATTGAAGCGAGGTAAGCTCGAAGGACAGCTGCGCTGACGACACTAAGAAGAGTCAACACAGAACTCAACCCTCAGCATGCCGAAGAGGAGAAACACTCCACTTTAAGGATGTGGCTTCCGTGGTGCTTCGGGCTGCTGGTCAGCAGGCAAGGTCGCTCTGGCCCAGGGGAAAGCCTCCAAGCCGCGCGATACCGAACTCGGATGCAGTGTGTGATGCGCTATCCCATCCTCATCCACCGTCCCTGTACATCTGTACTCACTTATACTTTCTCATACATGCTCTAGCATCATTTATGGTCTGCCCGTTCCCAAAGCCACTTGGACAGCTCTTCGCCTCGGAAGCGGTGGTGGGGCTTGCGGGGGAGCTGGCATCATTGGCAAGGTTGATCCTGGCACAGCTAGCAAATGCGCCTTTGCGCATGGGCTTAAGGGCCCACAGCTGGGCGCATGCTGCCACGGCCCTACGCTCCTGCAGGGAGGTCGGATGCGTCAAAGGGATCGAATGCCTCCTCGGAGCCCTTCGCCGGGCCTGAGATTAAGACTCAACGGCATGCCTTGCAGCCAGTGACACATCTCCAAGTATCACGGAAGCTAGAAAAACCAGGTATATTCACAGATTGCCGGGCGGCAGCTGTACACACTGCCGAAGCGAAGATCTCCCTCCTCGTATGTGAGCGACTGGAGTCACGACGTCTACATCTCAACTTGAGGGGCAAGGCCTGGCCCGCGAAAGCTAGCCTGGTGAGCGCAGGCCACGCCAGCAGGGGACATCGTGAGCACACAGCCGCACGGGCCCATGAAGGAAGAAGAAATGCTAGGGCGGCAGGGCAGGAACTACGCTAGCTTTCGTGATATCACGCAAGTACGTTGTCTGTTCTCTCCTCTTCGTCAGAGTCCACCACATCAAAGAACGTGTTCTTCACCTGGTATGACTCGAAATTACTGCAAGGAAGCCATGCTGTGGCTCGGCACGACTCCGGCAAGGAATCCAATGTCAACACGAGTCAAACACCTTGAGCTTTGCCAACTGTGCTCTGGCTGCGACGAGGAAGCCTCAGCGCGAGAAACCGTCTTTGGCGAGAGCACAGTCACGCGGCCACACGGCCACACGGCCACACGGCTGCACGGCCACACGGCCACACGGCCACACGGCCACACGGCCACACGGCCACACGGCCACACGGCCACATTCACAGTCATATTCACAGTCGTCTCATCATGCTTGCAAGCCAGTTCAGGGTTCGGAACCGGGAGAAAGATCCAAACCATCATCTGCCATGATTCGGAACCTAAGTTCCACAAGTGCAGGCATATGTGATGCAAAGCTTCAAAACTGACAAGCCCTGCGTAGTCAGCATTGGGGGGGCTCACGTTCTGGCGGCCAGACTGAGCCCCTGACCGATGATGTTCAGCAAATGATTTCTAGTTCCAGCCCCCCCCCCCGAGCCGAAACCTGCGAAGATATTGTCGGTCGCATGGCATCGTGATGCGGCGATACTACAAGAGAAAATGCGTGATGAGCGAAGTGGCCCTGCTTCTCGTTTGAACTCTACAGGAGCTTCAATCCCGAGGATGGGAGGCAGGTCCAGGTCTTCATAGCTCTCTCCCAACTCGCTTCCAACTCTCTTCCATGTCCTCGACCTCACCGGCATCCCCTGCTTTCTCCTGTCGCAGCTTCGGGAGAACATGAGAACAAGAGCTGGCTTGGATCGTCAACCACCTGCAACCGTACCCTGCGTAGTAGTTTATCATCGTTTATCCTTCTCCTCTGCCCCCTTGCAACTGGCCTCCTGGGCTCCGTCGGCTTGGGCCGTAGGCGCATCCTGATCCTGACAAGTTTGAGGGTTGTGTGGGGGGGGTTTTTTGGGGGGGCTTCTTGGGGGATGTCTTGGCCCTTCCTCTCGGAACAGGAGACTTAAAGTATGTACTTCTTCTAGGTCAGCAAAGTCTGCCTTCACACGTGTTCTGAGGGTTTTTTGGGCTGGCATGCGCAAGCCTCATGATCAGGGAGGCAAGAGGCCGAACTTGGGCTCCGTTGACTCCAGCCTGCTCTTCCTCGCTTTTCTCGCATTCGCTCTTCTCAGCTGCCGTTGGCTGAGGCTCCTCGAGGGCAGGGAGCGCACATTGGCGTCCGGGAAATGGCGGTAGAGACGAATCGGAATTCGTGAAGTTCGACAAACGACAAGAAGGTCCGCATGGTACCGCAGCTCCGCTACTACTCCATCCGACTCCATCCCACACATTCAATCAACACTCTGCCCAACAACACTTTGCAGAGAACACCTATCACAACTGCTCCTGGCTCGCGTGCCCGGCCACCTTGCGCCTCAGCCGCCTCACCATCTTTGGGGAGTCTTTGGGAGTCGCATTTTGGGTCTTAGTTGGCGGTAGGGAGTTGTCGAAGAATGCTTCCACCCCTGACCAGCCTGGCACGTGTGCTGCGGTCTGTTGAGTCGCTCGCGCTGCTGCTGCACTCCTAGCAGGATGCTTTGTCGATGTGAGCAGCACACCTTACGTTGTTTGGGTCCGCCCCCTTTTCAGAGGATTCACACACAGGGCCTTGGCCTTGGCCTTTGCTGGCTCCGCGCGTTTCGTCTTTGTCGCCTGCACAGCACTTTCAAGGCTCTGCATAAGCCTTTGCAACTTGCCATAGTACTTCGAAATACTTCGAATCATTCCATCGCGCATCATGCTGCAGCAGGTCAGAGGCAACATCGCCAAAAGCGCCAAGAACAGAGACAGCTCTGGAAAGGGAATCGCCAGCGCCTCGGATATTGGTGAGGCCTCCTCGGCCTCGGCCTCCTCGCTCTTCTGATCGCTCTTCTCGCCATGATCGCTGTCCTCCTCCTCATCCTTCTCCTCCCTCTCTGCTTTCTCATCCTTGTCATCCTTCTCCTCCCTCTCCTCCCTCTCCTCCTTCTCCTCCGTCTCTTCCCTCTCCTCCCTCTCCTCCTTCTCCTCGTTCTCCTCCTTCTCCTCCTTCTCTTCCTCCTCCTCCTCCTCCTCCTTGTCCCCGTCGGCCTTGCACTTGGCCTCGGAGAGCTTCAAAACGAAGACCACACATGAGACAGGCACGAATGTCTTTGGATGCCAGTCGACGGGTCTTTCGCTTTGTTGCGCCACTTTGAAAGCGGCGCCCTACAGTGCCCTACAGCTAATGTCGAGCCACGTCGGGCCCCCCAGTTGTGGCAGCACACCGTAGTGACATAAAGGAGCCCAGCAAAACTGCTTGTACTGGCTTCACCATGCTTCGCCCATATCTGCCCTGAAGACAACAAAGGTTCCAGAGAGCTTCTTATAATCGAAGACTATGACTAAGCAACGTGCCAATGTCTGCACACCACGACCCGGGAACTTGTCCGGGACTTCACCATTTCTTCACTTCGATCCCTGTCCGGGGGTCCGGCGGCCGCCTTGCACCTCGGAGCGATGTCGAGGCCAGAGTCTCGAATCCATAGAACATCACAGAACCATACGGAACACACAGAATCCAAATCAAAGCTCATGATCACCCTGCGCCACAAGATCTGATCAGCGACACACCTCACCAGCCACAAAGCCCTGAACCACATTTCTGGCACCCTAACTTTGGCACCCCAAACCAGAGTCATGCAGAGAGCACGTTCTTCAAAATCTTCGACATGGAGAGTGAGGCCTCGTCTCCATGCTCGTGTAGGAGGAATAGCTGGAGCTTCGGCTGCGATCCTGGCATGGCATAGGTCCCCTCAAAAAGCTCTGCAAAATCCCGCAAGACATCGCAACAAGCGCGCGCCTTCACAGGTTTCACCTTGCACTGAGCGGTTGGCTCTAAAGCCTCCACAAGCCTCGCCTGGCACGCAAAGGACGAAACATTGCAAGACACCTGAATTACTCCCCGTCCGAGGATGCAGAGTGGCTGGGTAACTCAATGGCTTGAGAACACAACCAACCCAACCTCTTTCCTCGCGACCTTCGGTGACACCGGTGGTCGGTGCGATCCTCGGTAGTGTCGTAGTGTCGTAGTGTCGTGCACTGCGACACATTTGGCTTGTGGAAGATCCTAGCGTTCGAGTGCTACCTTCCCAAGTCTCCGGGCATGATGACTTCTCAAGCACAGAGCTCCAGACGGTTCGTGTGCTTCTGCAAATCTAGGCAGCACATTCTTGGCGACTTAGAATCGTGGCGTTGGGCATCTCGCTTGCCAGCTTTGGAAGAAAGATCTGCCCTGGGTCACCATCTCACCGACAAGAGCGGAGGTGGTCTTTTCCCGCCACACACCCCCCCCCCCCACCCCCCCCTGCTCCCCAACCCTCCTTCGGTGGGACATCAGGGCCATGGTGAAAGGAGGCCCCAAACCCATGGTCGCCAGAGCAGTCTGCCTCGATCATTCTGGCGGCTCCGAATCCCCCCGACACTGTCGGGAAGTCTTGCATTGTTGAAACTTTCTTCCTACCCTTATAGTTTTGTTGAGAAAAGTGATGTAAAGTGCAACTAAGCGGTTCCAGGGCGAGAACGATGTTGCAGGATGCAGAAGGATGGTTGCCGACGAGAATGATCATCAGACCCACAAGCGGCTCTTGCGTGAAACTCATGGCATGGAAGAACAAACAGCATATACAGCATCAGCATGAGAACTGCCTTCGTGGCACAGTCTTTTGTGGAAAAAATCCTGAGGATGCGGCCGAAAGATTGCAAGCCTGAATCAGACTTCACGCTCTCCACATACTAGAAGCGCTTCTCTGGCCAGCTTATAAGGGCACCGCTAAAGGAGACCCGGGTACGCAAGGAAGACTCATCGAGCTCTCAAAGCGTCCCCTCGCATCCTGCCTCGCTTCGCACTTCGGCTCCGTCGAGACTCCGGGAGTTTAACCCGCCGAGCATCTGAGCCAGGCTCCCACTCAACATGGGGCATACATGCAAGATCAGCAGCGGCACTCTCAAGTTTGCAGGGAGACATTCCCACAAAGGAATAGTTTCCATGAAATCTTATACAAGTCTGCAAGAAACGACACACGAGATCAGGCATCCACGACGGCGCCCTAGTGTACACAAAAAACCATGGGGAAAATCTCCTTCAGCACCTCTCTCCGCTATTCTCTGCTCAGTTCCCTGCAGCTCTGGCCTTCCCGGGCAGTTCGCCCGCCGGAGCGCGGTGCCCGGGACCTCCTTGACGTCCGCCGCCGGCCTCCTCCGCAAGACAAGGCTTCAAAATTGGGCTTCAAAAGAGGGCTTCAAAGAAGCTGGCAGAACAAGAAAAAGAGAGGATGACGCGGATGTGTATGCAGTTGTTGCGTTCGCAGGAAGGAAGGGGAGGAGTGGGGGGGGGGGGGGGGGGGGCGGAGGCACCTCGGTGCCGATCTCGGCGCCTGCTTCGCGAAGTTCGGTGCCGGCTGCCTCTGAAACAACAGCAGTTTATGCCACCAATGCCTACTGAGCCTACTGCAGACGAGGCATGCATCCGCCGTGGTGCAGTCCACAATTCCCCATTGATAGCATACTGGAAGACAACTACTGCAGGCACCAGCCTCCATCAAAGTAAGGCATTCTCCCCACAGGGAATCTTCCTTGGCTGCATCTTCACACAGCGCCTGTCGCGTGTTGTGAGTTGAGGTGGATACGCTTAGGTCCAAACGTCGGCTCCGTTCCCGACCTCCCCAGGAACGGCTTCGATGTAGAACGAGCTTGCCCGGCCCTGAGGTGAGAAATGAAGCTGGTGACCCTCCAGGCTTCAAGCACATGTGCGCCCATGCTCGGCTGCCTCCGAGCCTGTCCTCGCGGCTTCGTGACCTGCCCGGACCATGCAGGACTGGCTTCGCCACTTCGTGGAATTCTCGGAAGCTGCACGAAGAAGACAACAACAAAGAAGAACGCCTGGAGCAAGGCCGCAAAGGAGAAGCGCCTGTCGTGGGCACAAACGTTGCGCTGGTGCTCGACTCTGCTAGCTTGTTGCATCTTGCGATCGGGGATCTGAAGAATTGAAGATGAGCTGGCATGTCTGTTTGGGATGGCAAGGCTCCGAAGAACTCTGACACAAGCAGTGAGAGGTCGTTGCACGCAAGACTCTCCGCCATCTGCGAAGAGTCCTGCTGAGGCCCTGGCTTTTGCACCGCTCTTGGAAATCCTTGCCCTTGTCTTTGCCTCTTCCCTTTCCCTTGCCTTTGTCCTTGCCATTCTCGTATTTCTCGTTTGCTTTGTCCTTGCCTCTGTCTTTGCCCTTGCCTTTCACTCCAGAGTCTTTGCTCTGGTCCTCTCCTGCACACACACAATGTGCAAAAAAAGGCATCGGGGCAGCTCTCGAACTCTTCGCCGCGCAGCGCAACTCCTTGCCAACGCTGAGGAGCTGTGTCGTTGTCTCGGTCCCACATCCTCAGGCCCCCCGGGCGTGCCCTTCGCTCACTGGGCATGGCAAAACACCGGGAAGAATTCTCAGGGAATTCTTAGAAGCACCCCCAACTTGAGCACGACTTTGTTCCGCCAGAGCACTTCCTCGCCCAGAACGGTATGTCGGCCTCAACAGTATCAACCATATTTCGGTGACACAGCTACTCCGATATTGCGATTGTTGAGTTCACAGAACCATGTGAGACATGCGATTCCGGTTACAACAAATCATGGCCGCAGATCTTGTTCAAACTGACAACATCAACTTTCTGTCTGACCTGGGGACCTGGCTTTGGCATTCCAAGACTCGTGCGAGGAAGCAGCATCTTAGGCGAGTGCTTTCGACTAGCAGCTAGCATCAAAGGGTTTAACCATTTGAGTGTGCAGAGGAACTCCATATGGCAAGAGCTTGAAGACTGGATACGATCAGACCTGCGTGGCTTCAACACGGTCTCTGGGGCCCTTCGGACTCGACTCGAAAGCCTGTCACTGCCACCACATGGGCTCTGTACACACCGTCACTGGCACTGATTTGACTCGACGAAGGTGCACTCGACACTTGGCCGGCCATGTCCGGCCCATGCTCTCACGGCCCTACTGTGAACTGATCTCTGTAAACGCCAGAAGCCACCTTCAACGCAAAAGATTGCATTTTGCTGGGTCTATTTTGCTGGGTGATTTGCTATAACTGCTGCTCTAAACACACTGAGAACTGACTTGGAAGTCATCCTGCAGAATGCCCTTGGACCCTCTTCCGGCAGCTGAGCCCCGCACAGGTCCGGGCAGGCTCGGGCTTGTAGCCTCTGCCATGCATCGCGAGAAGGCCCGAAAGGCGTCTCGAACATCCTTCCCCCTAATCATTGGAGACCAGCCATGGGGGCCGAGAGCGAAGAACCCTCCCACCTTACTTCATCCCAGACCCCGCCCCGTTTACGGGCCGGCCGCTCTCCGGCGCCTCTTCTTCCTCGACCCGCGGTCGCTGCAAATATCTACAGGCCGTGCACCGCCGAGGCGGCTCGCACAAGCGTGTACAACGATTTGGCACGCGTGCTCTTTGTGCGCATCTTCTGAGATTACAATATCCACAAGCTGTCAAAGGGCCAACTGGAGAGAAAGGACGACTCGCGGCTGCTACTCTTTCAAAAAAAACAAACCAAGAGACCAGGCCTCTGATAGGCTTCGGCTTCGCTGGTCCTAGGATGAAGGGCGGCTTGATGTAGGAGAGTGTTCACACAATCTTGAGGTGTCAGGTGATTCTTCAGGGAGTCAAAGTGGGATGGGTGGGATTCGGCTGTTCTCTTTTGGACTTTCGGTGGCAGGTCTGAGTCGGCTCTGGCCCTCTCTAGCGCGATCCCGTTTTGGTGCCCCCGGCTAGCAAAGAGGCCCCCGTATTGCCACATGGGGGTTTACGATATTCGGGGTACCTTATTGGGGTACCTTATTGGGGTCCCTATCATAAGGGAATCCTACCATTTGGGGTCTTTTAGGGGTCCCCTATTTCCGTAAACCCCCACATTGCCTTTTGCTCAGGCAATGAAGTAAGCACCGCTCCAAGTAGCCGCTCGACAAGAATAGAATACCATGTGCTTGTGATGCTGGTGACACGGGAGCGTAGCAGGACTCAGAAAAAGATCCCCATTTGCACACCATCTTGCAAGATCTTACCAAAGCACGCCGAGGCTCGTTTCTTTTTCTTGCCGTCCGCGGTGTCCGCAACTCTAGCCTCGCAACATTTCACAAGGCACAATTGATAGTCGCTCTGAGGGGACTCAAAGCTCCTCAGTAGCTCCTCAAATCTCAAAACAGCAGAACTCAAGCAGATTCTTTCCGGGATTTTGTCGGCAGCTCGCAGCCCACCTCGGACAACTCCTCGAAGGTGTCCTGAGATGCGAATCGCTGCAACAGCGGGCCCGGAGAAACCAAACCCCTCCGATCCACTCCTCGACGGTCTGAGTCACCACCTCGGTGCCATCGCAATGTGAGATGTTGCAATGTGTTACGATGTGTTCCGATGTGTTCCGATGTGTTACAATGTGTTACAATGTGTTACAACTGCAAGTTCTCACTGGATCGGAGAAAGCCGGGGCCGAGGCATGCCATTGTCGAGGGGGCACAGGCAAGCGCCCCCCTGCCTGTCGCAATGCTGAGACAAGTGCCAGTTGCATGGGATTACATGGGCAGTTCGGAAGCATCCGCAAGTGCACCTCGTCGGGAAGCACACGAGGCTTCGAAAGGACCTCGCGTTCCACACGGCATGCAAGGGCACAAGCTGGGGCTCAAAGGGCATGTGGCCGCGCAAAGCAACGCGCCATTGCAAGATATTTTGAAGGGCACTGTCACCGCCTGCGAAGCTTCTTGTCCAGAACAGCCCGGAGCAGCTGAGCCTCCCCACTCTGCTGAAGATGTCCTCTGCCTGTAGCCAGTGCTACAGACGGGCCCTTCTGGCCCTGGCTTGTCCTAGTGAAATTATTGTGCAGTGTTCACCCTTGAGCTTGAGCCCCTCATGACACGAGCAACGGGCCTCGGAGGTGTCGATGCCCATGCTGGCTGGATCGGCCGACCAGTCTGAGCCGCACTTTGGACAGGAAGAGGAATCTCTAAAGAATGGGCCATCCCTCCATCACAGGATCTGCCGAGTGCGTGCGAACGACCAAGGACGGGGCTGTCACCGGCTTGGTAAAGTCTCCAGAGCGTGTCGGAAATCCACGCCTGCGGGCGGCAGATGAAGACATCTGCAAAGGTCGCCTTGCTCTCTAGGACCTTAAGCTTCCTTGGACTGGAGACAAACTATGTTAAGCAACCCGTGAAAGTTGTTGTTTCGCGGGCTTGACGTGCAGTCCAAGATGGAAGTTGGGTTACAAAGCCCGCTTGCCCCAGCTACTGAACATTACTTCACTTTGGAGGCACTTTCTGTCAAAAGGCAGACGGGGCACCTTGACGAAGTGGGTTCGGCGATCCTGACACAAGTGGACAGCCGGACGTTGCAACCACGACCTTCCGCTCCCCACCTCTGGTCGATTCGGCGCCTCAAGGCTCCACAATGCAACACGGCAAAGCAACTCCAGCTTCGGACAAGCCATTGTAAAACTCAAAGCAAGGGCTCAAACTCTGTCATCTTTGCGCAGCTTGGCAAGTGCCTGTGCCCAAGTTCAGGGAAAAAATTGCTTAACCGCAAGAGGTCGGGGAGCAACAACAGTCTCAGCAATCGCAAAAGCCAGTCAAGCAAGCGCCCTGCCGTGGCCCACGTCCGCTTCATGAAGCCGTACATCTTTTTAGACATCTGCGAGCATCTACAGCTAAGCAACGCAAAATGCCACCAAACGCTGGGATAACAGACTGAGCAATGATGCACTGTTGCACTCCACAGCAAAACACAAGATGTTGAAATGAGTCAACGGGTCTCTCCGCATCCAATAAACTCGGCAGCTAAACCGCTGGCGGAAGTCTTTGTGTGGCCTCGCATTGTGCGCGGGCGGATGTCCACCCAAATGATGATTATACAAATATTATTCAACCTAGCAGGAGCAGTGGAAGCCAACAACCAACCTGCCTGCCATACGGCACTCTCCAGCTCAGGGTTGGTATCCCAGTCCTCGGAAATGAGGGGAAAGCCACACTCTGTTACAGAGTACGCTCCTGAGGTCATCTGCTTGGCACCAGAGGACCGTGCTGCGTTCTGTGGCATGGAGACCTCCGGGAACATCAAACGCTTCTGGGCCAGACAGCATGGTTCATGTTTTGTTGTTAACGGAGTTTGATAGGGCTTATCTAGCTGTATGAGAAACATCGGAAGAAGCAGGCAGGTGCAACTAATTCGGCTACGTGTTGGCACATGTCAGGGGAATGCAAATTGACAGCAGTGTGCGATGGAGGCTTCAGGCGCTTGCTAACACATAGCAAGCCTGGCCTCGAAGCCTCGAAATGTCTTTAAGGACCCCAGAGGGGACCATGAAGTGATCATGAGAATGCAAAATGCCATAATAGACTGGTATAAGAATATATAACTAAAGTACACAGTGTAATAATCGTACATTACCCCGAAGCCAACAACTCGCTGGGCAAACGTGCGCGATGCAGCCCACGAGTCTAGCAATTGCCTCGTGAGCCCGAAAATAAGCGCCAGTCTGAATCCGGGAAAGCCGGTGTCAGGCTGTAGTCGCGTACAGCCTGAAAATGTGTCACAGAAGATGCAGCGCCTCACGCGTCTAACAGCTTGGTGTGCAACACCGCAAACGCAGGTGCTGCAGGCGTCGCCATTGCTAGAGCATTTAGAGCAATGGTCATGGGAACCTGCACTCAGTGAAGCAAGCTGCACCAGAGAGTTGGAGATTGCTAGCTTCCGGATTGGGACTCGGAATCATGAAGCTTTGCGTGTTTGTCTAGCAGTCTGAGTCTAGCAACTTCATGCAACTTCTGAAATCTTAACTATCGTGACCCAGGGCTAATGCTCGCTGGAGCCAAGTAGCCTGCATCTCGAAGTGATACACGGAAAGATGCAAGGCAATATGTTGCGGTGCATGCTTCACCAAAGCTATCTGGCTGTACTTGCCAGAATCAGAGAAAACCACTAGAATCAGAGAAAACCACTCAGCACAGTGATGCGCAGTGCTTCTTCTTTTCTGGAAGGCGCGTGGCAGGTCTTTGGCCGACGGCACAAGCTGGTGAAACTGTGGAAGCTGATAACCTCAGCTTCATCACTGGAAGGAGATACCTCGGCAAGCTCAAAACATGATGCTGCGCACACGCCTCAGACCTCCGGATTGCAGCCCAAGCCCAAGACCCCAGACCAGAGGGCGAGGCTTTGAGAAACACCATGACCCAAATCGCCTCATCTTCTTCATCCTCACTTGCGATCAAGCTGCTGCCATCAATGATCAGCGGCCGGATGGGGAGAATGTCGACCTGGTACAGAAGTGGTGCAGAATGGCAGATCTAGCCTACAAGTAACTGTAACCATGGTTCCAGTGAAACTTGGCGCCTGTTTCTCGCAGTTATCCATGAGGCTCTGCAACCTGGGAGTGCTAACTCACGCTGACTCGTGCATGCCCGACAATTGGTCCCGACAATGGAAAATGCATCTGCCGGGAAACCGCCTCACCTTTCGCTGGATTTCTGGGGGGAGGAGATGCCCTGAGCCAGCCCCTGACCAGGGATGCAGGCTCTTGGAGGGCTGACGTGTGAGACATGTTGCGTGTTGCACATTGCATGTCACATGTTGCATACAAAAGGCATCAAAGGTTAAGTTATGTCAAGGTAGTCACTCCAAAAAGTCACCGCTCCACGGCGGCCAATCCGCCGTCGTTTCTAGTGTCCTTCCCGCACAGTCCCGGCACGCCTACCAATCGCAGCCTCAGCAACGCCATGCAGGAAAAGTTCGACATGCTGACCCAGAATCTGACCCATCAATTCTGAAATCGCTGCAGCTCATTGCAGCTCAGGGCCTTTTACTCATGCTTCCGAGCGGCGCCTCCTGCATCCGCGTCAGGAGGAAGCAGCTCGGGTCGTGCGCTAAGCCCAATGAGGCGAGCCACTCCCACAACTCCTACAAAGATGCACTCCGGAATGGAGCATCTCAAACATACCTTTTCACACACTCTCACTCACTCACTCACTCACTCACTCACTCACTCACTCACTCACACACCCAGCAAGTTACGAAGGAATCCCAACCGGCCTTTCTGCGCTCACCTTCCCTCAGTCTCGCTGCCTCTTTTAGCAGAGCGCATGTCCTCCAAGCCCGTGAGGAGTCCAGAGGCCACTTCGACCCGGCGGGCACCCATCGGAGCGTAGCCTCAGAACCAAGCAGAGCCAAGCAGAGCCAAACAGAGAAACCGAGGGGCCCCCTGCTTCTCGGATCACGGAGCCTGTGTAGCCTCTGCCAAACGGCAAAAAACCCCGATTCGCTCCAAGGGACTCAGTCGTGAGATGTAGAGGTCAACCACCAACAACCGAGCCCAGTGGACCTGCACTCTGGGCTACAGGGGTTGCAGCGGCCACAGGAACCTCCGACTTTGCTCCAACATCCGACCTGCTCTGCACATTTCTAGTACAAGCGAGCGGCACTCCAATGTTGGGGACCAAGCACCAAGGAGGCAGTGGTGGCGAGCTCCAGAGCCCGGCGGATGAAGCTGCGCTTTACCTCATACGCAGAAGTGCGCAGGATTCGCTCAAGGGCTAGAAGTACTCGGATCATCTGGGATCCGTGCATTTCATTTTATACCAAGACGAAGAGAAAGACTTCACGGGCTCTTGCCAGCTTTGCCATGGTGCCATCTTCAGATTCTGGCCTCCAGGCAGCCCACCCTGCACGGAGCCGAGGGCCGGTGTCATAGATGGGGAGAAGAACCTGAGAATTGGTGCCGTTCTTGCCACTGTGATCGGTCTGCTTGGGCATCCTTTCCATGTCAGAGGTTTCCCCAAGCCGGCACCTTGTCTTCTGTTCTTACCCTGCTCGAGTTTTGCCGAGAGGCGTCTTCTCCGCCAGCCTGCCTAGCAGGCGCTCCGCGGATTGCAGCTGCTCCTGGCAAGGCTTTGTGAAGCTTGCTGCAAGGGACACATGAGACACACATCCCAGAGTGTGCGTACATGTGCGTACGTGTGTGAGCGTGTGTGCACGTGTTTCACATGAAGATGGGGCTAACAAACAGCTGATCCTCGTTCTTCGGCGGCTGCCCACACTGTGAGCATCTCCTGCAATTCCAGGTAAGCTACTGGTAAGCTAGGGACAGGTCACGGAAGCCCTGGCGAGGGATCTCATCTGCAAAACCGATTTGTAAGTTTGCGAAGGCCGTTGGGACCCGAATGGCCATCTTGACATTTTGTATGATCATTCCGAATCATTCCTTAAGGTTTCTTCTCCACAACCACCAGGGGCTTGGGAGTGAGAGTCCAGAGCCTGGGATGATGGGGTAAAGTTGCCGAGAACATGGCATCCAACATGGTATGTCGGAGAACGACACTGTAAGCCGACTCCAAAACTGGACGGTGAGGTGGTGGAACGTAGATGGAGCCGGCAATGCCGCGAGTGAGGCCTCTTCCATTGCTAAGCCTTCAACACCATGCTCGCCACCTGCTACCTGCAAATCAAAATCCTCGAGGGAACCTGGTACCAAATTCAGGGCATCTATATAGATGTGCAACTGTAGCTATTTCCTGAGAACATGCAATAACGTCAGAATGTCGCCTGAATGTTCCGACCCACATGCCGCCCACAGCCTTTCGTGGAGCTGTCTTCCGTCGAGAAGCTTGTAATCCTACGCCTCTGTCTGGTCTTTTTCGACTTGGCAAGCTTGTGGTCATCGATTTTTCGGGTTGCGCCGCCTCCACATGTGAGGGGAGGCTGTTGTGTGCATGTGTGATCACATGATGGGTGCAAGTTGGCAGCAGTGTTAAATCTTACGGGAAGTTACAAGCGCTACGTGCTGAGGACCACATGGCCATGAAACCAGCGAAGCATTTTGCTTTTGCGCCTCGTATTCCCTATGTATGTCGACCCAAGACCCTACCAGTCCAGCTCTTCCCGTCGAAGGCCGCCAGTGGGATGTCCGAACCTGGGACTTCGCTGCTGCGGGCTTCTTGCTTTCCGGATCTCAATGTCAGCCTCCCCACCCTCCCCAAGAGCGCCTTCGAAGGCCGCTGTGGGGAGTTCAAGGCCTCCTTGAGAACATCACAGAAGCATGTGAAGACTTAGAAAGTGGTCGTTTGCACCTGTAGCACCCCAGAAATGAACGGAGATGAACGGAGAACTCTGCAGCCAAGATTCGCGGGATCCCTTCAAGAGCTTGGCGGGTCACCGCGTCCTAGGCTCAGCGGCAAGAAGCGTTTCTTCAGAAAGCTGCATCCTGCACAGTGCTCCTCTTCTTGCTCTTCATGTGGGGAGACTGGATGCTGCTCGTCTGGAGGTAACAGCCTGGCAGAATGGATAGCCGCATGGACATGGCCTCTGAGAACGTGTATCAACCTGCAGATCCTGGAAATCTTGTCTCCGAGGTGCATTGCAGATGCCAAGTCCCAGAAAGCCCTCCCAGGGCTCCTCGGTGCAACTGCAAACAAACCCCCCCCCGCATGTCGATGGAGTTGGCATCTTATATCTTAATCTCAACATCTGAAATCTCGGTTGAAACGAGGCTCCAGGTGGCTGCCGATCCATCGAAAGCATCACTGGCCTTGCAGCCGACACATCGTCTGGATCAGCTGTGAGTGCAAAATCCTGTGTGAAAATGTTTTTGGAAGTGCGCGACCCCGACCTTACTCACCAGTTGGCTTGCACTAGCAGCAATGCAAACACATTCCGAAATCTGTCTGGAAACCATGCCAGTACTGGCAGTGTCCCACGGTTTTGCAGATCAACAAAAAAGGCACCGTGATGGCAGCACAAGTCCAACACTTGGACTTAATCACTCAGTTCGATCCATGTGAGCAAGGCAGACATCACCCTGCTGTGGAGCCTGACGCCCGTCCTCGGATATCTGCACGCAAAGCCTTGCAAGATCTGACATCATGAGCCAACGAAGGTGCAATGTCGGAACACATTGCAGCTCAGGGAGCGCATTGGAAAACACCTACACGATTACAACTACTGTGAAAGATTTCTGCACTACTCCTCAAGCCACTAGCTGGCATATGCACTGGTGACTCGCAAGACCTCGTTTCAAACGATGCATTCCCGTTCCAGTTCGCTCGCAGCTTGTTTCCCACAACCCCTTCAAACACAAAACAACCCCAAACCCAAGTCGAATGCAATGCACAAAACACTGTTGATCCAAGAAGGGGAGCGTGCAAATCAGCAAACTGGGGATCTAGGTTCCACGGATGGAACTAAATGGACCCTTTAGCATACGTCGACCCTGGACGTGAAGCGGCCAATCTCACTAACACACCCTAGACCAACCCAATATACCCCAATACTACGTAGTTACTAGTCATTCGCTTCCTGGATCTGACATTGGGTGCTCCCATTCTCGCTGTAAACCTGTCACATTACACTGGAAAGGAACTCTCCACACCCAAAGTTTCCACCTGCGTGACTTCAGCGTTTGTTGGTCCGCATGGAAGCCCTGACACTATTGCCGGCCTGGCCCGACCAATCCCAACTTTGTTCCAAGATCCCAAACCGCCGTCACCACCGCGTGTGTACAAATCCGAGTTCAAAGAAGCTACCTCAAGACTTCCTGTCCAATGATTCGCCTGTGAGCCTGCGGTAGGGTTGCGTGTCCCAGTTGACATACTATGCAGACAAGGGCACTAGAAATCCCGGAAATGGGCATCTGAGTGCTGATAATGGTCACGGTGAGATGACAACAGAGCTGGGAATGCAACCATATATTCTGCGCAACATTCTTGTGCTTGCGCGAGCACTTTCATACTCGCTAATGTAGAGCCATGACTGCAAGAAGTACCAGGTTTGCTACCAGCTGCGTCAACAACTCTGAACCTACCCTCATGCCGAAACTCTTTGAGGGGAAATTGAAAAGATGGCCATACCATATGCTGACTGATGGCGAGTTGCATTGGCAAAGCGATGTATCGTAAGTGAAAATGATGAGAATGCAATGGCAGATGAGGTGAGCAAATGGGCACAAGGACTTGTCGACACCGAATCTGAATTCAACCATCACTGTTCAACGCTGCTAGCCAGCTGGGTGCCGGACATGCGATTGATTGAACCAGTCACAACATTCCGGCCATTGGTGAGGACCCAGCCGATGTCCTCCGCGGCAAAGGCCAGAGGTCTACCAGTTGGCCCCCAGATTCGGAGTTCAGCGGAAGCTTGCACAACCCGCGTGGGGTCCTAGGTTAAACCTGGTCAAACGCTGAACTTCATGATTGATGGGTGCACTATGGCTGCCAAGTCCTTACATTCTTCAGAATCAGGATCCGACCACACCTCCCGGGAACAAGCACCAAGCTGAAGAAAATGCACCACATTCGTGTGAAGACACTTCGAGACCCGGAAGCCCTCACTGTGCCTCCACATGGATCCAAGCTGGCGGTGCATCTTCCATCTCCAGAAGCGCCTGAGAGCACGTTGTTCCACCCCGCCTTCTTACATCTAGTTGCCACATGATCTCTCTGTGCACCTTAGAAGTGTATATTAAAACGGCAACCGCACAAGTACAAACAAGAGGTTTTGATGGAAATGTTTGCAAAAGCTTTGGCGGTGCCTTCATCCTCGTGCCAGTCTTCAGAAATCGCTTCTGCGGACCCTCGACGCCTGAGCGCAGCATTGTTACTTGCGGATGTGAAACAGCGATGAAGCATGAGCCAACCCAAGCCGACAATGTTCACAGGGATGTTGTGCACTCCCTCAAATTCAGCGGCTGCCATGGACTCTGGAGAGCCTGCCACCCCAGCCAACCCCCTTGAACCTGCTGAATCCTCAATCGGCATTTGGGCCCAGAGTCTGGGGGTGCTCCGAAGCCACACCCCAGGCGAGTGCACAACCTCCGGAGCACAGTTGGCATCAAAGTTATCAGTTCTCACGGAGCACGGAGCAGACAGGGAAGGGTTGCTCACTTGTTCGTTCATGATTTGCCCGCAACAGCTTGTGTGTGTGCTTGCTTCCCCAACTTTGATCGAGTTGCCAGATCCGTACTGAATATTTCCAAAAAAATTGGAAGCCCTGCCTCCCATCGCTGTCGACGCTCTGCACAGCGCATGCATGCAATCGCACGAAGCGGATCCTCCTGTCATTGCAAAAACAAAGGAACTGCCATCAGAATGTAAAAGCAAGCATCTCGTACGCTGAAAGCCGGTGAACATGCTACCATGTGGTTCCTGTGAGGCGCAGCGTTCACAGGCGCATTGAAAGCACTTCGAGCGCCAGAGATGACGGCGGCGAAGCTCGATGGGCAGAAGCAGCCTTCAGGTACTAACATTGTAGTTGTTGGTGCCGACATTTTTTCATTGGCTCACTGAACCCAAACAAGCCAAGTGGCTCTCGTCCCAGATAGCTGTGAAGGAGCCTAAGCTTAGAGGACTACTTTTCAAGTAGGTGGGCCGGCACACAACCTCGTCTGCCTTCCTGGAGACTGCCTGCATCCAAGATTCTCCTGACCTGCCTCGATTGGCTGTAGAGATCGGAAATGCCTCTCCAGCGGGCAGTAAAGTGTGAGAACCGCCAAGGCTGCTCATCAACATACATGACGGGGGTGCCGATACACTACGCGCCACACAGCAAAATTGCCTAGACCGATCAATCTGCAGGCCTCTTGTCGCTGACAAATACGACGTTTGGAAAGCAGCCTCCAGCGAGACTTGAGATATCGATTGAGAGCAGGGCCAGGTGGCATGCGGCCGGTGTTTTTCAGCAGGCCGCAGCAAAGGATTCGGACTTTGGGGGATTTGCAAGCTGTATGATAAGATGGCAGAGTTTAGCGTTGGGTTTACGATTATTGCGGAAACTCTGTAGCATGTAGGGATTTAAGTGATTTAAGTGACCCTTAAATCTCCGAGATATCAAGCGAAAGGTTTTTTGCCCGAAGACAGGTTGTGAACAAAAACTCCCTCAAGCTCCAAGGAGCTATTCGTGACAGAATTAAGAGTTAGATAGTGACAACTTGTGACAAAGCTTGTCACGAACAAATCGCCGTGTGCGCTCTCCGAAGAACGACACTCCCTTCTTGTTGGCTCCGTCACGTCGACACAACAACTGGCATGCAAAGGCCAGCCAGCCCTGAAGGCGTGAAAACTTGTAGCCAGAATCGGTCAATATCCCAGCTGCTGTGGTTCAGCCGGCTGATGGTGAGGAAGCAGCTCCTGCACTGTAGGCATATGTGGGCAATTCGATCTGAGGGTTGGAGAAATCCCTTCCAGAATTTTTTTCAGTGAAGCCGGGCGACTCACCCGTGAAGATGTTCATCTCGATGGCCAGGATCGCTCTCCTCGGCAGTGCCGGAGACGATGATAGACTGATGGAGCGGAGCTGTGGCGTCAATGATTTTGGCTGCCAAGATGCTGGAGAACTTCTTCAACCTCGGCACACTCCGGCACGGTCCGGGCACACAAGGCCGCCACCTCCCCGGCAATGCACCTGAGAATCTCAAGAGGCGTCTTCCAGATTGGCTTAGATGTGGCAAAGATGGATCACAAGATGCGCACCTTCAGACGTCACATTGCACATTCGCAGCTTCATTGCATCCGTGCCGTCTCTGAGATATCTGAGATACTGGCACGATGGGGTGAGCCAAGTCAAGTCTCGGGTAGTGCAACTCCAAGATCATCCTGGGGGGGGGGGGGGGCGCACTCAGGCGCCGCAAGAGTCAACTTATGTCAACTTGGGAAGGGATGCTTCAGCAGCGCTTCTCGTGCTTCTCGCGCTTTTCGCGTTCTTGGTCTAAGCGTCTGCTGGACAAGGCGGCTGGAAGTCGCGAATGCCACGGCGCTGCGAAGCCTCAGTACGGCCGGCCACATGTCATCTGCAACATCCAAGCCCCAATCAGGGCCGTAGGAATGTGCAGATTCGATTGATGGTAAGGAACATAGACGGAGAGGCGTACACATAGCTCTGCACCTCACAAGGTAACCACCGGCAAGCGGGCACGCATGATCGCGCACGTGACACCTTGTGACACCTTTTCCAAGGCCCCATTCCGGTGGGCCCAGCATGCTCTCCAGCATGCTTCTCAGCCTTCTCCGAGTGTCCAGGAAGTGTCAGTGGCGCCTTGATCTTTTCCTGAACCAAGCGGACGAGTTGCAGAGTACAGATGAGTACAGCTTTAGCTTTCAAGGGCAGCCCAGTCTCGTATTGCTTCTGGAAGGCCTTTGAGAAAAACTTTTGGTACCTGAGACGCTGCTCCGAGCTCTTGGCCCACGAAGGCACGAAGGGTTTGAGTTTCTGCTATGCAGCAGACATTGAGAAGAGATGAAACAAGGAGTTCTGACGTGCCAGACAGTTTGCGGGGTCCGGAGGGGGAGTGGACTCAAACGGTCGAAAGGTCAAACAGACGGCCCATCAGTCTGAGACTGATTCTCGCAACTAGGCCCTCGAGGCTAAATTTGGCAACTAGGCACTGCCCCAAGCACCTTTGAGGCGGATGTTGCGAGAGCGAGAGAGAGAGACGGGAGAGAGACAGAGAGAGAGGAGAAGAGAGAAACAGAGAGAGAGAAGAGAGGGAAGAGCGAGAAGAGAGAGAAGAGAGAGAAGAGAGAGAAGAGAGAGAAGAGAGAGAAGAGAGAGAAGAGAGAGAAGAGAGAGAAGAGAGAGAAGAGAGAGAAGAGAGAGAAGAGAGAAGAGAGAGAAGAGAGAGAAGAGAGAGAAGAGAGAGAAGAGAGAGAAGAGGGAGAAGAGGGAGAAGAGGGAGAAGAGGGAGAAGAGGGAGAGGAGGGAGAGGAGGGAGAGGAGGGAGAAGAGGGAGAAGAGGGAAGAGAGGGAAGAGAGAGAAGAGAGAGAAGAGAGAGAAGAGAGAGAAGAGAGAGAAGAGAGAGAAGAGAGAGAAGAGAGAGAAGAGAGAGAAGAGAGAGAAGAGAGAGAAGAGAGAGAAGAGAGAGAAGACAGAGAAGAGAGGAGAAGAGAGACAGAGAGAAGACGTGTTTCAAAGGGGCCATTCTGGACCATCTGTCCCATGTGTCCCCCGACTCATGGAGTCTTGAGCCCAAACCGCACTGAACCCTTGGTTTCTTGCGTGTCTTGACAGGGCCCACGCTTCTTGAGCTGCGCGAAGCTCGGTCGTCGAAAGAAGGGCCGGTCCTCGAGCACAGCCACGCCTCAGGCAAGAGCAGGGGGCGATCGGGCGCAAGCAAAGCTAGGCGAGGCAGCCCGTAACACGGTAATGTCATGTAATGTCCCCAGCCAGGCGTCCCTGGTCAAAGTTCTTCGTCGCGAAGAGCGAGAGACCACGGCCGAGCACGCCTTAAAAAAACTCAACGAGATCCCTCCCCCGAAACAACACATCCTTTGGTCACTCCAAATCTGCTGCTGTATGCATTTTGGCTCACAGCCACTTGCCCCAAAATGGCACCATGACCCTCGCACCACGAAGCTCTGCCAGACTCTACACGCAAAGCACGATGTCATTTCGAGGGCTCCGTATGCTTTTGTGAGGTACCTCCCACTTGCAGAGAGGTTGTGATTTGAGACACGGCACGGCGGATCTGCGTGCCAGTCTCAGTTTCGGCCGGCTCGGCAAGAGTCTCGTCCAAGGCCGCGTCCAGGGGGGCCAACAGAGCACCTTTCAGAGAAAGATCCAAATGAAAGCAAGTTGCAAAGAACGAGAGATCACATGCTTGAATCTGTTCAGTAGACTCTTCCGGTCTCATCCCTTTGAAAAGAAAGTCGGAATCAGGGTCCAAGCCACCGAGGCCCAGCGAAGAACCAGAGATTAGCAGCCAAGCCATCCTGCGACAGCCGCAGATCCAAAGTTCTTCGATGCCTCTACGCCTCTACGCATGCCGACAACCTCTGTCTGCTATGGCTGCCGCGTGAGCTATGGCTGCTATGTCTGCCACGGCTCTGTCTCAGGTGCCGTTGGATCTTGACTTCTGCCCGGTGTAGACCGCCCGAAGCCGGGAAGAAACAAAGCTGGCTCTCTTCTATGCCTGAACTCTGGCACGGTAGCACTGGGAGCCTCTCCGGCAGCTCTTGAAGTTCTGCGACTCCTCGGGCGGAGCCGAACTGGTGGAGCTGGAGCTGTGAACATCAGGACAATCCAACATGAACACATGCGAGGAGAAACAACAAACGTGACAACACAACGCCCAGCGAACGTGCAAAAGGCGATGCCCCAAGAGCTGCCTCCACGGTCGATACGCACGTAGCCGGACTTGTGGCCCAGTCGCATCCTCTCTAAGGCTCTGGGTGAATGTCGCGCAACCGGCAAAGTGTGATGTCTCGGCAAACTTCAGCCACATGCCCCGTACATCAACTGCCCAATGGGTAACGATGTGAGTATGTATGCTTGCACCTCCAGTTAGCGTAACAAGATGCCACAAGAATGCGCTATGCAGTGTGTCAGAGGCAAGAATCTCAGGTCCAGCTGCCCTCTCGCCAACCCAGAAGGGGTCCAGCCCTCTGGGGAATATCCTGTCCAAATGAACAATTCTTCGCAGCTTCCGGCAGTACCAAAGGTCATCGAGAAAAACTCCTGTGACAGCTTTCGTGCAAACTGTGTTGGGGGGCGTCTTCATGACAACTGGCCTTGAACTTCGTGCTGTCATCCTTGCGCGAGCGTTGCAGACTGCTTAAAGACTTCGCTTCACAGCCTTGCAGGGCCAGCCTGAGTCCGACAAAGAGCCACCTGGCTGTCAGAATCATGCCGTACTCTGTCCTACATGCAAGCTCTACTGCACCAGAGAAAATATGTCTTGAAAAACAACAATCCATGGAAGCCTGCAGAGTGCACCGAGAAAGCAAGAAAGGCATCAAGATCGACCAGCCAAGTCCACCTCGGGGCTGATGATGCGCCACTCTCGCAGAACGTTTTCGGTCATAGGCCTCAGTGTTTCGTGCAGATCGAAGCTGCGAGGGCTTTCGCCCCATCCCCCATCACTTTGCATGTCTAAGTCTTGTCTTGGTATGCGGCCCACCCAAGGCATCACTCAAGCGCATGCAAAGCCACCTGGCGGAAAAGGTCGACCAGAGAGCAAAAGGCTCCTCAACCCGGTATCTTATCGGCACTGCTAGCAGCTGCTAGCACTTACCATGTCTTACTTACCGCCCTACTGGGGCCCCGGCGGCTCCCCAGCGATCTGGCGATGCCAGCCGCGGACCAAACGGCCGCGCACAAGCACCTGGGCGTTGCACGTATAGCTCGGATGGGCTCAACAGGCACGAGTCCACGAAAACCCACCTAAACTATTCGAACCCACACCGATGCAGCACAAGATCGACAAAGATATGTGATCAGTAAAGTGATTCGTTCGTCTGGCTTCTGAAGTCCAGCCAAGGGGCACCCAAAGCCTGGCAAAGGCCGACGAGTGCCAAAGAGAGGACCGGCAAGAGCGAATCAAGGATGTTTAAAGAAGAGGTGCGCTGAGAAACTATTGAACACAACAACATAGGAATTCACAAAGATTGCGAACGAAACGCGAGAGAATCGCGCAGCTTTTGAGTCTGTCGTCCGGCCTCGGCCTGGGTGCTGGGAGCGGCTCGCAGCGCCACGCGGCCATGGACCACAGCCCAGTCACTGAGATCCCCTCCAGGAGACAAGGATGGAGAAGGCAGAGAAAGACAAGGAGCGAGAAGGAATTCAGAAAGAGGATCGATGGATAGAGCTTCAGGACTTTACGCCCAGCCGCCCCCCAACAAGCTGGGCCTTGCGGCTCATCGTCAAAGCCAGCATCCAAGGCGTCGTTGCCTTCAGAACGGCCCACCCAACAGAGGCCGTCGCGCTGCCACTGCCCCTGCCTTCGGGCTGTGCGGGTTCTGGCTCCGTGTTCGTGGAAGGCGAAGCGAAGAAGAGTCCTCAGGATCCAGCTTGCACAGGCCGAGGACCCAAAATTGGGATGAGCTCTTGGCAAAGGAGTCTGGTTTTTATTACTACAGGGAGGTGCGGAGAAAAGGCCAAGCATCTCAATGCGGCCAAGGCCTCAGCACTGAACCTGAGCAGGTGAGAGAAGCCAAGTCATAGATGAATTTCTGCCGGGGGGGGGGGGGGGGGGTGGGCACAGCTTTACATCCCTTGTCCGACCTTATGTTGCCTTTGCCTCAATGTAGTTTAAGCATGTTTAAGCCACATCAGTAGACGAGCCAACAACGTTGACAGGAAAAGCATGGAAATCTTGCCAGAAGTAGACAAGCAATGAAGTCGGCAGAGGGGCGCTCGGAACCCAGCTTGCTGAAGCAGCCGATTTACGCGTGGGCCTTCTGGCAGCTCCTGTCTTGCAAAGTATTCGAATCCCTGTTGTGCCGTGATCTTCACGTGAGCCAGGGATGCTATAGGATCTCTGTGGGGAGTCTACCTTTGTAAAAATGATGAGGTGGTGAGTGGTGAAGCCACGCCACCGTAACATACGGTACCACAACCTCGTCGCTAGCTTAACGAAGCTACTTGACATACTCGGTAGTTGCTTAGAAGGGAGCTGCTGAGACGTAAGGGGCTCCTCTTCCAGGGCAACTGCAAGTGCTTTGGCATCGCGGATGCCCACCCCAGCCAGCTTGCGCTCTGCTGCGAGAAGCCTTGTGCAGTCTCGCAGTCTCTCTCGCAACATGCAAAAGCAGGCTCCGCAAGAGACAGAACATCTTGCTGGTCCCAGGCGAGATCAGCCCAGCAGCTCGCTCTGACTCCACTGCGGCCGTGCTTTCCGCAGGCCAGTGCGCAGCTCTGATTCTTTCGGTTGATGGTGGGCCTGGCGAAGCATCTCCTCACAACATGGGGATGGCCACCTGAACGCAATACCCAGCCTCCACTTTCTCGAGCTCTTCCCAGTCGAAGGCCTGGTGGTGCTTTCATGTGGAGACGCTCCAGGCAAAACTGGTGGCACATGTCAGCGCTGGAAGGGAGCTGAAATGTCCCGAACCCCCAATTCGCAATCTTGGCTGCGATCCTGGCTCACCTCCATGCGCAGTGTGGGCCGCCATGGCAGGTCGTTCCGCGAGGATCCCTACTGCTGCTACGTGCTGTAGGGATGTTACAGCAGCTGGTCGGCCAGGTTGGCTGGGTCGACTAGGTCGGCTAGATCGGCTAAGTCGGCTAAGTCGGCTAAGTCGGCTAAGTCGGCTAGGTCGACGAAGTTCGGCGAGGTCATGAGGGCGGTCATGAGGCCACACATGCGCCATCCCAGTGAACAAGTTCCACACGGCGCGGCTGGTGAACCACAGTGGCGACATGGCATGCCTGAGTCTAGTGAGGGGCCGCGTGTGATGGCGTGTGCCCTGCCATGACTTCAAAAGCGGTCTTTCCTCTCTCCGCGCAACTTGTCTTCCAAGACCTGCCCGGCTACTCTCCAAAGTCCAATAGGACTCCAGCAGGCTTCAGGAGTTCTCAGCTCAGGGCTTCTCCGGCTTTAAAAAAGGCATCGCTAAAGCCTCAATAAGGTCCTCGCAGCCCAAGACCTATCTATAGGTTTCGAAAAACAATGAAAGCCTCAGAATCTCTCGTCGCAACTTTGCAGAGGGCACAAGTCACCAAAGGACGGCGTTGATGACTCGCCGATCGCCTGAACCCTGAACAGTCAGAGGCTTGGACATACCAACACCCCGGCCCAGACACCTGAAGCCCCTTCCGAAACAGCCTGACTCTGCCCCAGCACATAGGAGGCTCCCCCAGCAGCTATGAGTTCAACAAGCAACAGGATTCTAGGAAACCAGTGCAGGGGTAGCCCTTTCTGCCCCGAGGCAAAATCGAAGCGGCACACGTCTCGGTTTCTCGGCTCTTAAGGGGACTGGCTTCTGTATTTTGAGGGCACAGACATGAACGGATTCTGTCAGGGGAGTAGCACCGCCCTGGCGCATAAAGTGATGCACACCACACCGCCTAAACGCCGAGTAGCTGCTGCTTGGTGAAACATCGCTCCTGTAGGGCTGCGTGCGCTGGCCTGGAACTCCAGGAGACTTGTAGAGGACTTGGACAGACTATTTCAAGAGCAAAGGGGAACTCTAAAAAACGCCGATGTGGCTTGATGACTCTGATCTGCAAGCCGGACGAAAACTCTGAGCCGGGACTGGCCGGGATCGATCGGCTCCACAACGGGCGTGCTATTTACATCCCAGTGTGCGCTACCTTTCACTCGCAGAGTTCTCTAATTTCTGGGACGGACGAAGAACAGAACGACGCTGTCCTATGCTGCGTTGAGCACCCTTCCACAAGGACATGCTGAGAAGCGCATTGATACGACTGACCCAAACAGCGTGAGCTTCCCGGAATAATAAAGAATCTGAACGAGGAAACGGAAAAGAATGCAAAGAAAGGCATAACAATAACTGCGACAGTGCTGGCCCTGAACCCTTTGAATTCCAACTCCTTGAAAAGCCCTGCAAAGCTCCATCCTTTCGAGCCACTTTCAAAGACGAGCTTATTGAGGTGCGTGGTCCTGAGCATCATTCTTGGCAAGCTTCAGAGTTCACATGCCTGACACAATACGAAAGTTTGGCTTTCTGAGTTCGAGGCCTCCTCCTCGTCCGAAGAATACTGGGGCCTTCCACACAGACGGCTTGACAGTCCTTGCCCTCTGTGAACGCACATTGTCCTCAGGCCACTGCTCGCCAGGAGCAAGCAGCCGATAGGAGGAAACGTTGTACCTCATCCGTCGGGAAAGACTTTCCACTAGCAGCGGTCCATTTCTGCCTTCAACCAGACTCGGGGCACTCTTCTCCAATCTGCAGTTGCTGCATCAAGTAGCGTTCCCGCCTCAAACGGGAAGCATCCAATCCGACGATAGCCCACCAACGAAACACCCAAAACCTTGCACATCCTGGGCCCATGGCTGGTCAGGGTAGTAATGCCTCAAACAAGGAATCTGAAGCTGCCACACTAGCATCAAAACATTCTAGTCCCATGATGGCTTCATCATGGTGTCTTTCCAGCAGAAAGTCCCGCAGCATACACAGCACGTCCTTTCTTGCTTAGATTGCTTACGTGTGTGTGTGTGTGTGTGTGCGTGTGCGTCATGATAGTTTACGCGGTGCATGTCGTAGCTTCCTTGCATTGAAAACTTCGACATACACATAACCTTACGTGTTACGTGTGCAGATGCTGTGTATAGCAAGGCTGGGTTTCTTACGCTCGATACATTTCTTTACATCTTATCCATAGAGTGTTCATGGATGCTGCCAAGGTACAGAACTTCCAGCCACAGCTCCTGCGCTCAACACAGGAACTTGCATTTGCTGATGCAAGCCTGGACTTCAAAAGACAGCGCGGACTTTCGGCTCCTCGCGAAGCGCCTTGATATTGATTTTCCTTCGCTCAAACTCGAAGTCCGAGGTGTCGAGAGGTCCACGAACTGGCTCGTCCTACGAGAATGTCACAAACAAAAATGCTGCACATCACTGCACCATGTGCCAGCGAAGGCGTACTGCTCTACATTAACTCTACACACTACCCGCGAAGGACCGGCGGCCGCTCAAACTACATTTTTTCACACTTCCCGGCACGTGTGTGTGGGATCCCACCTCAGGGCAGTACAGCTGCGAGACGTAAGAGAGCGTCAGTGCCTCTAGGAGAGGTTGCAGCATGGAATGCTCACGGTATGAAGCCCTTTTGGTGATTAAAGATGGCCTTGCTTTATTGGTCAGAACATTGCGCTGTCAAACATTCCGCTTTGAAAAACTGCCATTACTCAACTCCACTCGTGCCTTAGGCCTTAGTAGCTGTCATCACTATCGTAGAAAACATAAGCTTGTACATTGACAAGGCTACCGGTTGATCCAGTGGCGGAGGTTGATCCAGTGGCGGAGTCCCAGAGAAGAACAGACTGAAATCGAGCCTCTGTGACGGCAACCCGCTGCTCCGGATCAAAGCGCAGGGTCGCACTAAGGAACTCCATGGCACTGGGGTTGGCCTCAGTGACACTCAGTGCGATTTTACAGTGCGACTACATTGCGATTGCTGCAGCGCGGCGCGGCTCAGCGATCTGGGTCTACGACATTCGGGAACACCTCCTGCAAGCTCTGGGCCTTTCAAGAAGCAGGCTGCAGAGGCCGCACCCCTCCCCCAGCCGGAAAACGCAGCGGATACTCGGCATCTTGGATCGTAAGCTCAGGCAGACGACGGCCGTGGCCGGCAGAGATTCGATGAAGCGCCTCGAAACCAGAGTATCTGACACAGGTTCCGAAATGAATTTTCAATCCGCCTGCATTTCTCGTTCTTGATCTTGTTGAGTTCCTTCCGTGCTGCTGTGGCTGCTTCCCACGTGCAACAGCGGCTGAACAATGGGTGAGGTGAGGCCACGGGAGTACATTCGCCTTATACAGACCCGGGCCGTCGGCAGTCAGAGTCTCCGCAGGGACCCCTCTGCATCCCTCTGCCCCCATCCCCTACAAACCGTCCCCCTCCCCCCCTCCCTCTCTTGCCTCTTGGTTCATTTTGGAGGTTTTCTTTGGAGGTGTGCAGATGCGAAAGATGTCCAACAACCTTCTGGACTGGAGACAAACCTTCAATGACTTTTGTCTTTTGTCCAGTCTCGGGCATGGCCGAGTCAGGCGAAGTGCAGCGCTGTCAATTACACCACTGCCATTACCATCAGTGCCGAACATTTGCGATGCTTACCCAGTGCGCTTTCTGCTTCTTTTTGCTAGCCTGTGCCCCGCCTCGGCACTGGGCTTCCCAAGGAAGGAGATGATGGACTGGCACAGATGGCGAAGTGGGGCTCTGGGGATCACGTGGCGCAGGGCAATCAGGGCAACGCAGCAAAGAAAGGCTTATGGTCCGGCTTATGGTCACTTGGCCTGCAGCTGATGCTGCGTGTTGTGCCCCGGGAACAAGGGCTTGCGCTCCAGCATCTCAGGGACACCGTGGGTACCCTCTCTCACACTCTCCTCAGTGTTTTGCGTGAGCAAGCCACCAGCCTCTGCAAAGATGCAGCCTATCGACCTTCGAGTCAGCACGAAGGCAATCGAATCACATCGTGAACTCCTTATTGGTTAGGGGGATCCCATGTCTGCGCACTTCATTGAACCAAGCTGCCAGATGTCAATGGCTGTGGTGTAGTCCACCCAGGAACACAAGACCTTCCAGGATGCCACCCAGCCATGACACGACACAATGTCAGATCAGTGATAGCACAACCCAAGTGCCAAGAGATTGCCTCTGGAGCCCGATACCAGCGTGTGCAGACCTTGGCGAGCAATTGCAGCTGCACAAAGCCAAACTGCAAGCGAAGCACCGACTTTGCCACTTCTCAGGCTTTGACGTACTCAGTCATGGGACAGGTCTGAAACTCCTACAAAAGGTCTGGAATGGCGTTCGTTGCACCATAAGAATGACCTCATTTCACACTTCCTCTCCTTAGAGAAGCTCACCCTTGCCAGGCCGAAGTCGCAGATCTTCAGGTCACCTGCCAAGCAACCACAGAGCTATGGCGCCAGATTCCACGTATGCTTGAAGCTGCCAAGTGGCAGTTGCCGTTGACCAGCAAGTTCCGTGGCCTTGGTGCCACAAACTTCGCACGTACCATGTTGAAGAACATCTGAGGACTGAGTCTACCGCTTGAGATCTCTGTGAATGACCTGTGTAGAGATGTCAAATCTAAGTAGACAGACAGTTTAAGTAGACAGACAGAATAGCGTCAGTTTCGGTGAACAATTTTGCAGCAGCAAACTAAATGTTTGAAATGTTTGGCCGTAGATGGCAGCGCATCCAACTGTTCCTTTAATCCGCCGATTTGCCAAAGCTACAGTGCCTCTATGAGTCACACCTACACCGAGACACAGAAACACAGAGAGACAGAGACACAGGGTGAACCCAACATTCAGGCCGTCCCCAGCATGTATCCCATCACGACATCATGAAAGCCCTTTGCAGATGGCCTGCGCAGAATGCACATACTTCATCCCGCGGAGGATCTGGTAAAGAAAGAACTGGCAGTGATCATCCTGCACAGGACTTCAGAGGATGAGGTTC